CAGCACCTGGTCCGGCCGGGGCACAGGGGTGGGGGCCGCTCGGGGCGGGGCTCAGCACTGAGCTCTGGCCGGGCTCGTGTGCGCCCCCAGATTACCCCTACAGCCTCGTGAGCAAGGAGCTGCGCGGTGTCATCAGAGCTCTGCTGGCCAAAGCCTCCGGCGCGCTGGAGCTCTTCCTGGACCACTGCATTTACACCATGCTGCAGGAGCTGGACAAGACGCCAGGTACGGCAGGCGGGACCGCCCCGCCGGCACGGGCCAGCCCTGGTCACGCAGCGCTCGTGGACGTCGGCGTCCCTTAGCCGTGGGGCGGGCAGGGAGCTGCAGGGTTGTGTCCAGTCCAAACCCCGTGTCCCACCTCAGAGCCGCACGACACAGTCGCCCCGACAGCCACGGCATCTCCCCTCTCCTGGATGTAGCAGGGCCACGGCCACCAACGTCCTGCTGTCGCCGGGGGTCATGGGCGCTGCAGAGCCCAGGCTGAGGCCGCCTCCCCGCTGCAGAGGAGGGCAAACCCCCCAGTGCACCCCAGTCTGAGCAAGGGGGAAATCCCTTCCTGCCCCAGTGCGCAGAGGCCCCCCTGGCCGCCGCCTTCCCCTGCACAGGTGCAATGCGGCTGGTGTTTCTGCAGGTGATTCGCTGCATGGGTACCGCATCTGCATCTGCATCCAGGCCATGCTGCTGGACCGCCCGAGGATCGCCACTGCCAACCTGGGCAAGGTGAGCCCCGCCGCGGCTCCCCACACCAGGGCACTCGGGGGGTGGGGCGGGGGCTGCGGGATGTGGTCTCTGGGGCAGGAGACACAATGGACTCGCTCCAGCTGCTCATCTCGGTCCCTCCCCAGTACCTGGAGCTGCTGCGGTCTCACCAGAACAGGCCGGCGAAGTGCCTCACCATCATGTGGGCCCTGGGGCAGGCCGGCTTCGCGGACCTTGCCGAGGGCCTCAAGGGTAAGAGCTGCTGGGGGCACGAGCCCCGAGTCCCAGGGGTGGCCTTGGCCCTGTCGCGGGTCGTGGTGGGGTGAGTGAGGTGCCCCCTCGCATGGGGGCTGGAGTGCAGGGGCCGGCGTCCTGGTACCTACCGGCTGCACCCACGGTCCCACGCTAGCTCGTGCACCACAGCGAGATGCCGCCAGGCCTAGGCACTTCCCTGTCAGCCTTGCAGTGGGACCTCGCCCCCACAGCGGGGTGGGGGCAGTTCTGGTTGGGGAGACCCAGCCTCTAGGCCCCGCTTCGGGAAAGCACCCGGCTTGGGGGGTGCCAGGCCAGAGCCAGCACGTGTGTTGCAGCCTCTGCTGAGCTCTGGGTGCCCGGAGGTGCGTGGGAGCCCTGGCGGGGGGGCGTGCACCGTCCTTCCTGACCGCGCTCCCCTCCCGCGCAGTGTGGCTCGGCATCATGCTCCCGGTGCTGGGGATGAAGGCGCTCTCCCCCTACGCCATCGCCTACCTGGACCGGCTCCTCATGTGAGTTCGCCTCGGCCTGTTCCCAGCAGAGGAGTGCCAGCTGCTGGCCCTGGCGCCCGCGCCTTGCTCTGTGTCCGCCCCGCGGGCCAGGGCCTGGGGCTCGTGCCATTGGCCCTGGGCAGCTGGGTGCAGCGCCCGCCACAGAGAAACCAGAAGCAGGGCGGTTTTGGCCAGACCCAACCGTGGAGGCCTCGCTCAGTCCCTGTCGCTGGGCACAGCACCTCCGCACTGCCCGGCCGCTCAGGGTTGGGGGCGGGGAAGCAGCCTCCGGGGCTCCTGTTGGCCTGTCTGGAGGGCGCTGGTGCCTGGGGAGGGGTCTCCCATGTCTGGGCACAAGGCTGGGGGGTGAGAGCAGCTGATGTGGGAGCGCAGGGGGTTGAGCAGAGCCTTCTCCCTTGCAGGACGCACCCGAACCTGACCAAGGGCTTTAGCCTCATCGGCCCCAAGGACTTCTTCCCGCTGCTGGACTTTGCCTTCATGCCCAACAACTCCCTGGCGCCCAGGTGCGGCCTGGCCTGGCCTGGCCCGGCCCTCGCGGGTCCCTCCAAGTGGTGTCGGGCAGGGGTGAGGGCTGGGGGGGCTCTGGGGCATCGTGTGCCCCTGGGCCCGGCTGGGCTGGGGACATAGGGCTCCACGTCTGCTAGGTTCGTTGGCCACGGCTGCTCTGTTGCTGCCTTGGCTGGGTGCGTGCTTGGGGGCTGGTCCTGGCTCCTTCCCCACCACCCACGGCCTGGCTGTGTGTGGTTGGGTGGGGGCCGGGTGCTGGCTGTCCACAGAGCCGTTCTGGGACTGGTGGGGTTCGTACCAGCTGCTGCAGGGAGCGCACGGCCTGGGGCGGGACGGAGCAGGCGGCTCAGGGAGGGCGTTAACCCGCCCCGTGCTCAGCCTGCAGGAGCAGCTGCGGCAGCTCTACCCCCGGCTCAAGGTCCTGGCATTTGGCACGACGCCCGAGACCACGCTGCACGCCTACTTCCCCTCCTTCCTGTCCAGAGCCACCCCCAGCTGCCCGCCCGACATGAAGAGAGAGGTGAGCCTCCCTCGGGGCCCTGTGGTGTCGGGCATGGCGCCCCAGCTATGCTGGAGCCAGACCTGGGAGTGTGCAGGGAGCAGGGAGTGGGACAGGGCTCATGGATACAAAGGACCAGGCCTCGGTCACCCCTCGATCACCGCCCTACCGCAGGGTTGAGCTGGGGGGGGGTCGGCCCCCCGCAGTCACCCGCTTCTCATTGTCTCTTGCAGCTGCTGCACTGCCTGCACGAGTGCCTCAGCACCGACCCCCTGAGCTTCAGCGTCTGGCGCCAGCTCTACAGCAAGCACCTCTCGCAGTCCAGGTGAGCCCGGCTGGTAGGGGGGAGCAGGGACCTGGCCTCTCCCTTGACCCTCCTCTCAGGCTTCTGCTGGGCAGAGGGGCAGGGGCACTGGCCGTGGGGATGTGGAGCTGGGTTGCGGTGTTATTCCTGGCGCCATGGGGCTCAACTGCCTCCCTCCCTCTGCAGCCTGCTCCTCAACCACCTCCTGGAGTCCTGGGACAGCAGCCCCCGGAAGGTAGGCCATGGTGGCAGGGCAGGGGCAGGGGTTTGCTGGGGGCTTGCATAGGGCAGGCCTCGATCCTTGGCCAGTGGTGGCTCCCCCTCCCCCCTGGCCTTTGCCAATCCTGACAAATGGGTTAACAGTGATTCAGGGGGAGAAGTGGGGGGCAGCTCCTCTGCTTTGGGGGTACTGGGCTATTGGGAGGGGATGGATTTAAAGCCCTGCCTCTCTCGTGCAGCTGCCAGCACCAGCAGGCTCGATTGCGCCCCCCCCAAATCCCTCCCACCTCTGGGCTCCCCCCAACTTGCGCATCATCCCCTGCCTGGGTGCCACGTTGCAGCTCCTGCCATGTGCTGACTGTGTGCCACAGCCTACAGGAGCCGGGGGTGGCCGGGGCCCCCAGGCAGAGCCTGGCAGCCGTCGGTTCAGGGGGTGTTGAGCTGTGCTGCCCCTGTGCTGGAGGGGGCACCTGGCTTGCTGGAACAGGCGGAAGGCAGGAGGCTGCCAGGCTTGTTACCCGGCCTCAGGGAGCCGCCGGGGCAGGGCTGGGGCAGCTGCGGCTTCCTCTGCATCACCGTCTTGCTGTCGTGCCCCCCAGGTGCGCCAGGCGCTGCAGGACACGGTGTGCTCCTTTAAGGTCACCAACGAGGAGCTGGCCCTGAAAGGGGCCGGCAATGCCCAGGACGTGGCGGCCTGTGACATCGCCTGCAAGGTACCACGGGCAGAGCTGGCTCTGCTGCCCTGACACGGACCAGGTCCTGCCAGGGCTCTGGCTGGTTCTGGGAGCCCCCATAGCAGCTGGGACAGGGACCCAGCACTGTACTGGGGCAGGGAGGGCGCACAGGCTGGGAGAGCAGAGCTCCCCAGGAGCCTCCCCCCTCGGTGTGGCCCTGGGCCACGCGGCAGCACTGGCCCCGTCTGCTTTGCCCCCACAGAGCCTGCTGCACCGGCTGAAGGGGCGTGGGTTCCCGTGGGCACGCCTACTGCTCGTGGCCCTGGTGTTCCTGGGCGGCTTCCTCATGCACGACATCCGCATCCACGGCTCTTTCCACGGTGAGTGCCGGGGCAAGCAGCAGGTTTCTTCCTGCCAATCTGCCCTGTGGCCCAAGCAATGCCGTTTTCTCAGCCAGCATCTGGCAGCCCCATGCCATGTCCACACCGGTGTTGACGCTTGCGGTGTGGACTCCGAGACTGCAGCCACAGGACACGTGCTCCCACCCTTGCCGCCAGCAGGGGACGGGGGTCTCGGCCACAGCTACGTGTCCACTCTAGAGCCACTGGCCACCTTGGCCTGGCCTTCCCCCAGCCGATGTGGCCTCTGCCCCTGGGTGCCTTGGAGCTCCTGAGGCTGTGGGTGGGCCACGTCCGAGGTCTGTGCAGGCATGGCCCTGTCGCTGCCAAAGCTGGTTTCTCTCCTGGGGGGTCCTGGCATGGACAGGAGCCCCACAGCTTGGGGTCCAGACCAGCCCCCTGCAAGCGCCTGGCCTCGCTCTCTTGCAGCTTCCTCCTCTGCCCACGTCCTCCGGTCGTCGGGCGTCCTGGCGGCGTCGCAGCTGGCCTGGCACGAGGTTTCCCATTACTCCCTAGAGGGGTACAGGTCCGTGGCGCTTCCCGAACGGGTTGGGGGCCGGGTCTGGATTAGGGTGGGCTGCGAGGCCTGTCCCACACCCGGTGGGCGGGGGTCACCGTCGGCGCTGACGCTGCCCTTGTTTCCCCGGCCACAGCTGGCTGGAGCAGACTGTCCTGGCCTACTACACGCGCAGGCCGGCGCTGGAGCCAAACCTGCGGCTGGTCTGGGCCAAGACCAACGAGACGGCCACGTACCTGTCCGGGAAGTGCTCCTCCCACCTCGCCTGGGCCTGGGACCGCCTGCCCTGGCTCGCCGAGTGGGTAAGAGGAGGACAGGGCAGGACCCCGGGCCGTGGGGCAGCAGTGGGTGGGGGGCCGGGCTCGGACGTGGCCCCGTTGCTCTTGCAGCCCCGCCCAACCCGGCTCCCTGTGCCCACGCCGCAGCTCCAGGCCCGGGTCCCGGCGGGCG